AATTCAACTTAAAATTTACTATATATACTTATTTTCACAAATTAAACTTTTCTTTAGAGTTTCTCTTTTATCCTTCTTTGTAGTTAGTAATTAACTATAGTTGATCTAGCTTAAAACAGAAAATAAGAGAATAATATCATGCTATATGTCATTATATATATAGCAACAATAGTATAGTTTAGGAATAATATTTAGTTATACAATTATATCTGATTGACATGCTCATGTATTATCAATTTTTCCTACTTAATATTATAAATAAAAAAAAAAAAAAAAAAACAAAATTGTATTTTATGTAAAATCTCAATTAAATATTTAATAAAAACAAAGGCATAACTTCACTATTAATATTAAAAAAAAAATTCAAAATCAAATTAATATTAGCATAAACTTTTCTTTTCAAAATAAAAAATTAATTTACTTTTATATTCTATTATATAAAATGTAATAACCAATTAATTTAGTTATATATTATATAATTTTTATATAAGAATAATAATATACTTTAGAAGATAGTGATTCTAGTATAGTAGTTAGGTTGTTATCCTCCAAGGGCAGATTTAAGATTCAAATCACACCTATGCTGAAATTTAGAAATTAATCTATATTATAGCAAACTGTCTTTTGATGATTAGTTGAATTGGTATATCTGTAATCTTAAGTTGCACCATCTTGAATAGGAGCTTAGGACATCTATATAAAATGTAATGTTACATATACATAAAAGAATATTAATAACCAGTATCATATAAGACTTTAATGCAAACCTATAATAAGACTATCAGATGCAATAAACTAAAAAACCAAAAAGTTAGAAGTCTACTTAGAAATTCCTGAATAAAAAGATAATATGAACTTTTGATAGTACAGTTAGACTGATGGAAGCCTATGAAATACCTTCAAAGAAATAGGTAGATAAACCAGATATCAAGATATATAAAAAAGCATATAACCAACCAGACTGTCAGAATCACTAAAGGAAAAGAATACATATGTATATTATATTAGGTTATCTGAATTGAAAGTTAGAAGAGTCCTGTTGTTCCCAAGTAGTAGTTAGTAAGAAATGATAGAGAAGAGATTATGATAATAGGTATTGGAGTTCTAGTGAACTTTACAAGAATAAAAATAGTATAACATAGTAGTTAAACAGGTAACCTCTGTGATTGCAAATGTTAGATAACTATAGTGTATTGTATAAAATTAGATCAATTATGTGTGAAACATAGAAGGTTCTAGTAAGTTTTCTGTCAAGAATAAATTAGTCCTAAGAGTCTCAAAACATTGAGTAATTTAGATGAGTGTAGTCTGAAAGATGTTTCTGTGATCACAAATCAGACTATATATACAGAAGGTTTAAATAGACAAGACCTGTAGTTGACTTGCAGGTATGACACCTAGTGTAGAACCTGTATAGTAATGTATAGACAGACTACTTAAATTAGACACCAAAAGTGCATGTGTGACTAGTTGTAACCTCCTATATATGAAAACTCTTAAAGGCATTTGTGTTCAAATACTTGAATAAAAACATTGATCTCCAAAGGCAGAGACTTTAATATTAAAAAAAAAATAATAATATACTTTTTTGATACATAAAATTGATTAATTAGAATTAATTAGAATTGATTAAAATTATATATTTTCAGATCTGCCAATTTTATCAATTAAAAATTACATATAAAAATGAATCAGTAAAAAAGAAACAAATTATTTTTAGTAAATTTTTAATTTTTAAGTTAAAATAACTCAACAACTATTTATCAAATTTGCTAAAAAAAATTATATTTTAATCTTAAAATTATATAGAATTAAAATAAAAAAAATATTAAATTTAATAAAATACTTGTTGAGATATTTAAGCTTAAAGTCAAGAAAATATTTACTTAAAAAAATTGATTTCTTTTCTACTGACTCTCTATATATTATTTGATAAAATACATTATATTTCTTGAAAGCCAATTTGTTATATAACTACATTTGAATTATTATTTCAAGTTTCATAATAATAGTAATAATAACAAAAGTAAGACAAAATTTTTCTTTATATTTTATCTTACAACCTTAAATATAAATGTAAAATATATTGCATCTATAAAAGTAAATACATAAAGATTTTTTTTAAAAAAGTGTCTTATTTAAGGCTATTTTTTTGATCGACAATAACATCTTGAATTGAACTATCTGCTTCTTTATCCAGCACTACTAAGAAATGGATCTGTGCCTTCAGTTAAAATTTTATAACTTTCCTCAGCAGTTAGTTTATCGAAGGATAAACTTAGAGAAATATTATCGTTTTGAGGTATCAAAGGCTGACCAATCACTGGATTTATAAGATTAATATTTTGGAACATCAAAGGTCGACCAGCTGCTTGATTTATAGGAATATTAATGTTTGGAGGTGTCAAAGGCTGACCGGCTGCTTGAATTAGTGGCTGAGTCATAAGAAAAAATTTTTAAAAGAGGGTTTTCAAAGATTTTTTTTAAAGATTTTTTTTTTCTAAAAGTTTTTTAGGTATTTTTTTTAAATTTTTTTCTTAGAAAAGTTTTCTTAATTTTTTTTTTTTAAAAAAAAATAAAATGAATCTGAAAAAAAATTTGGGGATTTTATGGCTCCATAAAGTACAAAATATCATTGAAAGTCCGATGATAGGTTCTTTTTTGACGGCACTCATACAATATCAACTAATACTAGCGGAGATACAAAAATCTTTTTAGGTAGAGATGGGCAAACTTATTATGTATTCTTAATTGATATTATTTATTAATTCTTAATTGATATTATTTATTATCAGGCACCTTACTATGATGGTACCAACAGAATAACTCGAGTTTTTTTTGATGATGATTGCATCATCATCAAATGACGCAATCATCATCAAAAGAACTCGAGTTATTTTGTTGGGTACGATCATAATAAGATACCGTATAATACCGTTATTAAATGCTACTCAGCCAGATAATAAATTATTTTACAAATAATTTCCGTTATTAGCTGCTTCGCATCCAATAACTATATAATATTACTTAATATCAAGTAAAGTGATAAGTTATAAGACATTATTAATTACAAACTTACTTTACCAATTCATAATAACAAAAATGGTATTTCCGAAATTAATATTTCATACTAGCAGATTTTGAACAAACAACTTGCAGCCAAGTTAAATACTTTCTTTTATAGCCACTAAATTAAAACGAAAAAATAAAACTAAAAATAAACTGATTTACTATTTATGGTAAAATTTATTATTTGGCAATGCTAATACAGGCAAAAATAATATCGCATGATATTGTCCAGAAGGACAAGGTCTCACGTGTTTTGAGCTTTCATAATTTCGTCTTTTATATATTTTCAAGTCCTTCTTTATCGATTTTCTTAGAACTGAAAGCTCACTACACTACAATACTTTTAACATTGATTTTACGAGTTATATTGGCAACAAACTTCTAAATAGGTTTATTTACGTAGATAAGATTTTTAATTTATTTGTTATTTTTTTCGAGTAATTACGAATGGTCGTTTTTTAATCAAACGCTTGGCATTACCAGGTGTTTGATAAAAAACGTTTCTCAGGTGTGATTTTATGTTAACAAAAAAAAAAAAAAAACCAATATATGCAGTATATTAGAAAATATATACTATCGCTATAGTTGGCTATATTGTATTTAGTATTAAAAAATAATTCAAATTGCTTAATAATTATATAACATAGTACGGCGATCATTGATCATAAACCATACTGTTTACTATTTATGTTTTTTTAAATCCTTTTGATTCATGTAGTGTAGTATAATATAAGTATAGATGACGTATGCATCGTACAAAATAACAAGGCAATGTGACAGATCAAATCCCTATCTGGTAACAGCAGAGACCACGACTGATCCTTCACCCGCGTGCAACACATAAAAGAATTATTTCCCAATACCAGATCATTCCGCTAGTACATGTTATGATTATAATCCAACATCATTTTATCATAATAAATGGTGTTGGATTATAATCATAACATGTGCTAGCGGAATGATCTGGTATTGGGATATAATTTTTTTGTGTTGCACACAGGGTGAAGGATCAGCCGTGTAACATCAATGGTGCTATAACATAAATGGTGTTTCCGAAATTTGAAATACATTAATATTTCATACTAGCAGATTTTGAACGAAACAACTTTCTTTTATAGTCACTAAATTTAACACGAATAAAATAAGACTAAAAATAAACCTGATTAACTATTTATATAAAATATGTTAAAATTTTATTATTTGGCAATGCTAATACAGGCAAAATAATATCATAGGATATTGTCCAGAAGGACAAAGTCTCACGTGTTTCGAGTTTTCATAATTTCGTCTTTTATATATTTCCAAGTCTTTCTTTGTAAGAACAGATAGTTCACTAAAATCCAATACTTTTAACATTTATTTGTCAAGTTATGTTGGCAACAAACTTCAAAATAATTTTATTTATGTGGATAATATTTTTATTTCATTTTATTTAGTTTTCGAGGAATCATTCGTATAGCAATTTCTACGTACCCGGATCCTATCCCTATCCGGTATATCCGAGATTATGTTATACCAAAATGGTGCAATTTCTGAAATCTGATATTCACTCAATAAGTATTAATACATTAATATTTTATACTAGAAGATTTTGAACGAAGCAACTTGCAGCCAAATTAATTACTTTCTTTTATAGTCACTAAATTAGCACGAATAAAATAAACCTGATTTACTGTTTATACTACGAAATATGTTAAAATTTTATTATTTGTCAATGCTAATACAGGCAAAATAATATCACATGATATTGTCCAGAAGGACAAGGTCTCACGTGTTTTGAGTTTTCATAATTTCATCTTTTATATATTTGATTTTCTTTATACTTAACTTCGAAATAGAGTCAGCAGAAAAAGATTTTACTAATTCTATTTTTTCGATACCAATATCATTAAAGAAAGAATAAATTTTCTGGGCTCTTTCTTTTCTTTTATTACGGGCATTCTTAGTAGTACCAGGTAGTTGTTTTTCAAGTTCTTCATTAACCCTCATTTGAGCTTGGTGTACATTGGAAGATTCATCAGAGTAATATTTGAAACGTTGAAATAGAACTTTTCCGAACAAATAATAAGATTTTATAACATCTCTATTTGCGATCTCCTTACGAACTTCAGCATTGGTGATCTTATTATATAAATGAAGCAAATTTTCAGAATTTTCACTTTCTTCCTCCCTAATTTCAGTTATTTGTAGCTTTTCAACGGTTAACTCCTTGATAAGTTCTGAGTAAGATTGTAGAAATAGGAATGGGCGTTAATAATGGTTTATCAACAAATAGTTACGATTTAATAAAACAATTTACTAACGTGTCAAATTATTAGGAGTGTTTATTACTATTCTTTCTATTCTTAGAAACTTATCAGTTGTGTCCTCACACACACCCAACATAGCAGTAATTTTACCATCCTTCTCACGAATTGGAGACATTGAATAAGTGTAGTAGCGCTGTTCGAGAATATTATCGTCAACAATCGGATCTAGGTTAGGATCGTCACGTCTAAATACACTTTTTCCCTTTAAAATACTTAATTTTAATAAGTAAATTTTAATAATTATTACGCATAATAAATAAATAAAAAAAGATTAATATATAATTTATGATATTTACAGTTCATAAACTTTTCTCAAATTGTCATATGTATTAGGTAAAGATTCCTTAAACGCTTTTCCAAACGCAGATGCTATTTAATATCCAAATATCAATTGAATTTGGTCATTTTTTCGTTAATGCAAAACTTTGTGATTATAACTAACCGGATGAATGCTTATATCTTATAACTGGTATCTTTTTTATACAGTCTTTATTAAATATAATTAGATATTTAGAAAATACGCAATAACTAACGAGCAGATAAATTAATTTGTACGTACTTCGATTATACATAAAAATAAAATTATCTATGTCTCCAAAATAAATTGTAACAGCATACGATGATCCAAGGCAGAATTCCTGATAAATTAAGCATTATAAGACTAAGTTTTATGTCACAAATTAAAGAACTAATGATAAACTTACAACAGCCTCTTTGACTGGGGAACTCCAAAGCTCTATAGGGCCAAGATATGTCACAAAGTCTTTTAGGTTTATTTCATTCTTTGCTTTATCCATATTATTGCTGCTGTCAATTAGGATAATTAAGACTTCGTATTTCAGATAAGCACATGTATTTGTTTTAAAAAATATTGATTTCAAATATACTGAAAAATGAGCTATATTTATATCCCTTTGCCTAAGCATAAGCTGTGTAATTTTAAGTGTAACGCTATATCTTGAATAGGGATATACTCTGATTAGTCGATTTTTGTCTAAACTTTATCTCAATAAACACCGAATAAATCTCAATGAAAATTTTTATTTAAATTCTACAAATAACTAGAATTCAAATAAAAAATTTTTATCGAGATTAATTTGACGATTGTCGAGACATATTCATTCAGAGTTTTAAAGATGTTATCGCAGCTTTTATAAACGTTTAAAGGTATCTCGATAACCACTGTACCAATCTCGATAAAAATTTTGAATTCTACATGCTTGTAAAATTTGATTCTAAAATTTTCATCAAGATTGGCTTGGTGGCTATCGAGGTATCTTCGATCAAGTTGGATTGGTTGCTATCGAGTTATCTTCGCTCAAAGTTTTAAAAAAAATTGCATGCTCAAAACAATATGTCCAATAATTTCCCAATACGAAAAACAAGAACCTTAACCAGTCTTGGTCGGAAATGCGTCCAAATTTGGAAATAATTCCGATATCGATATATGATACAGCTTCTGACCTTATTTAAATATGATCTGCAATCTCTGCGTAAGTGATTTTTTTTTTTTGAATTTTAAACACTGCCTCTGTTATTAGTAAGGTAATTGCTTATTACGTAAAAAGTTAAATCACATTATGCGACAATTTAGCATTTGATTTTTTACGTTGCCGCACAAAAAATGTGTAGATGATCCTCAACCTTAAAAATTTCCTTTTGGGGGTCTTCTAAAGCGGGGAACAGTGATCACAGCCAATCAAATTATAGAATTTTGATGATCGCCGGCAACAAAAAAAACCTAGGATAAGTTAAGTAAAAATGTCGGGAAGGCAATTTTGCTTATATATGACTACCTACTACTTAAACCTAACCTAATCCTAATATAATATGACCCTAGCCCTAAAGTTAAAATTATTTAGAAATATGAGGCGTCCCCTTTTTTTGAAATTAAAAAATGCAAAAATTAATTCCGGCCAAAATCTTATCGTTGGGCAATCAAAATCGAGGAAGTGTACGGTTTGCGACGTTCGTCTACAAATCTTTTATTTGTACAATTCAGTGTTAACAAATGACTTTTAAATGGCAAAAAATCTAGTGGCATATGTCATTTATCATTTAGCCATTTAAAGACAAATAAATACCAAATGACATTATATCATATAGCACCAATTAAAATACTTAATTAATGCATAAATATTGTATATTAATATATACTGTATATATCAACAATACTTTAAAATTAATCTATAGTATTTGTGATATAAAAATGTTATATAACTATTAATGGAGAGTATAAGTAACAAAAAAAAATTATTATTTGGGGTGAGTTAATAAAAACACACCAAATTTTTTCAAAGTAAATTTTTATGAAACATTAAACTCAAATAACTTAGCAAGAACTTAATAATTTTTTAAAAAATTAATTCTAAATTCATATAGAATTCGTTTAAAAATATTATTATTAAATTTGAATAATTTCTTGTCAAACTATCTTTGTTTAATGTTGCAAAAATATTTCACTAAAAAAGATTTGGTGCGTTTCTATTGACTACCCTCATTTATTCAAAATTTGTGTAACTATATGATATTAGTGTATGTCGACAAGAGCTAATGAATTAAAAGAAATAGTATTGGTCAAGAGATATACGCCACATTGGAGTATTCGGTCAACTAATAATTCAAAACTATATGCAGTACCATATAAAATTTGTTATTAAAGTTTTTCGAGCTTAATGATTACGATAATTATCGGATTATATTATAGTAAAGGATGACTTGCGCATTTTTAGATGTTCAGAACGAATCGCTTTACTTTTTTTAATTATTTTAGCATAAATCTACTTTTAAACATGGTCATAATAATGTTACATTAAAAAACTTTATGTTCTAGTATCAAGTTTTTGACCTGCAACGAAATACCTCTCGTTTAAATAGTACATGTTATGAAACAGAATTGTTAATATTAAAAAATTTCAATGTAACATTATTATAAACGACTAAAATATTTTCGGCAAGCCAAAAAGCAATTTAGCGCCCATGTATAAGTGTAAAGATAGGTATAATTGCTTTTAAGACAATAGCTATCAGTGGAAATAATTTTATCTGACTTTTTATATGATAATGGATTTTTTTGGCACGGAATACGTAATCATTTGTGCAAATATTACAGAAAAAACTTCACATGGTCATATAAAACGCCGGATAACATCAATATTCATATGATAAATAATCATATACAGAAGTTCGTCTGATTGGCTAATAAATACAATTTAATCTTACATTATTTATGCAGTTTAGAGTACTTTTTAAAAAAACGAAAACCAACCATAATAAAGTAAAAAAAAAAAAACATATAAAAGGTTTCATTAGAGTTATAGGACTCCATAGCCAAAAATAAGATCTAATTCTCGTTCGTTTAAAAAAATTAGCTTAGTAATAAGTTGATTTTATCAGGTTTTGAGAAGTTATTACTATACTAACTTTTTTAAACGGACGAGAATTAGATCTTATTTTTGGTTATGGTGTCCTACAGTTCTAATGAAACCTTCGATATGTTTTTTTTACTTTATTATGGTTGGTCTTCGTTTTTTTTTAAAAAAGTACTCTAAACTATATAAAATATGTAAAATTAAATTGAATTTATTAGCCAATCAGACAAACTTCTGCCTATGAGTTAAATAACAAACTTTTAATCGGAGTTAATTTCACACATGTGCTACTACACAGCACATGGAGCAGCATATAGTTGGTGGTAGAATTACTGAATTACGGCATTACAGCATTCTAACATATGGTAGAATTAATTATAGCATAGCATTGTGAGCTGTAGTATGGTAACGTCAGAAGTTCGTTGAAGCAGGTGATTGGTGTGGCGCAGTAGCGAATTAACGGTTATGTCGATCACCTACCTAAAATGGGGATAACTGAAGCCATGTACCCACGTGATTTTGACGTTTTATTAAAATTAAGGTTAGGGATTGGAGTTGGGTTGGCCTTCCCGACATTTTTAATTAGTGCCCCAAGACAGGTTTAGAATGCTGTTTTTCGTCTTTATGCGTTTTCTTTATTCTTTGCCAACTTCGGACTGATCCGTGTACACAAAATTTCGTAATTCCGGCTGGTTGATTTACATAAAAAAGTCACGTGGGTACATGGCTTTGGACGACCCGTATACATCATGATAAAATAATTGTCGGGTAAATATTGTGTCGGGAAAATGGTTTTCGGGAAAATTATACTGTCAGTAAAATAGTACTCTCGGGGAAATGAGTGTCGGGAAAGAAGTGTCGGTGAAATCAGGAAAAATTATATAAACCACACGTGGTGATCAGCATCACGTGGCTTGTGTCATCCAAAATAAGTTGTACAGCTAAACGTCGTCACAATTATATAATTTCATGCATATTTATATCACAATAAAGAAAATTATCGTCATAATTGCGTATTTATGCACATAGATAAAATTAGATTAGATTAATTGTTAAGTAATTACTTGTATAAAAAAAAATTTCATCCTTGAACTAAAATTTTTTGTTTTCCTGAATAATAAATATTTTAATGCACTGGTTCCTAAAGATTAAATATATTTTAATGTACTGATGTGTTTTTTGTCGCTAGAGCTTTGTGCGATAATGCGATAATGACTAGTCAATTCCCTAAAGGTGACTTTTACATAAAGTCGGCTGCTTCACCTTCCATCTCTATCACCTCTATTAAAAATTTAGTAGTTGATGTTAAAGATGGAACAAAAGCTATTGTCGCTCATCAGAAAAGTGAAGATGATGGTTATCAGCTTTGGTACTATAAAAATGGTTGCATAATTAATAAATTATCAGCCTCATGTCTGGAAGCTGAATCGGGTAGGTTTATCTTTAGGATGTAAAAATAAATGAAGACACTCCTTTTTGAATTATCTTTCACATTACATCAAAATTAAAAAACTGCCAGAGAGATATGAACACGTTTATAAATGATCATTTTCTGAAACTTCCCTATTTAATTAATTTCGGCAAATAGAAAAAGTTAATACAAGTATATTTACAATCACTTATAGTATGTGCAGGAAGTCGTCTCCATTTGAAAAGTCATATTCAGACTAATAACCAGCGGTGGATCATTAGTAATGATGGGCATATTGCGTTACTAAATAAGCCAAGGTTTGTGATTGAGGTTAAAGGGGCTGTCGTGAAAGATGGTTCATATGTTGTGCTTACTGATACCGAATCGAAAACCTATAAGAGTGGTTTGTCCTCTCAATTTATTGTATTGCCAAAAAAATGTAATAATCTTGTTCATGCTCTTAGAAACCTGATTATAAAGTTATGATTTGTGCTACAATTTTCTATTTACTTTTTCTTTGTTTTTATCAGCCAGCGCAGCTATCGGTGTGATTAGATTAGAGTTGATAAATGCTAAAGACTTGAAAGGCGCTGATTCTTATTTTGCTGGCGGTAAATAGTCCATTAAATTATCCTGTGCCATTTTCTATTACACTGATTAGATCGATTAAATCAATTGAATCAATAAAATTAATTAATAATAATGTCAATTAGGAAAGTCTGACCCTTATGTTAGAGTGTTTCATGCTGATAATAATAAAGACATTATCGCTCAAACTAAAGTCATAGACAACGACTTGAATCCAGTGTGGAATGAAATTCACTATCTACCTGTTAAACATATTGGCGAAAAGTTTATTTTAGAGGTGATGGATTTTAACACTTTCATAAAAGATAAACTGATTGGAAAGTGCGATTTAGAAATTACTCGTGAGCTTGTCAGAGAAGTTTCAGATGACGTTTATGAAGGTACTCCAAATGGTATCGATGTGTGAGTATAAAATTTTTTATTAATAAAAAAAAAACAAAATACATAAAATACTGTATATTAATTTTAAATCATTATCCTTACATATATTATATGTTTAGTCGGGTAGACCTTTCAATTCAAGGTCAAATTTATTACAAAGCGAAATTTTTCTCCTTAGAACCTCTTCCAAAACCTACTCATGATTTTATTACCAATCTTCAGGAGAAACCTTTCGATCGTTCAACATTTTACGTTCTTATCACATTACAAGCTTCAAATGGTGGTTTTCCTCCTTCCGTTGCATTAGCCAATCTATTTGGGTATGATTCTCAAGGATCTCTTTTAAAATTATATAAAAACCAATGCCGTGAAAAGCGTATTTTAAAGACTAATCCTACTGTGAAGTCCACTAGTATGATATTATGGTTTTTACGTTTCTTATTAAAGGATTATAGAAGTGAATGGAGAGGTGTTTATGAACGTGCTGAACAGTTCATCAGTAATGAAATTAAAGATTCAGAGATCGAAAAAGCTGTAGTTGATACCGGTAGAAAAGCTGTCCGTGAACGATTTGATATTAAAATTGATCATGGTCTGTATTAATTAATTATTAATTATTATGATTCTATTTTATTTATTATTTATTAATTTAAATATAGACCCTAAAACTAAACGAATTACTCGAGAAACTGTCTCAAACTTGCATATTAAACGTATTCTTAAATGTCAGCAAAATAATGGTGCATATCATGTTACTGATGATCTTGCAAAAACTCTTGGTTATGAAAACCTCGATGAACTTTGTGTAGCATTCACTGAATATATAAATAGTCATTTTAAATCACAAAAAATATCTCAAGTTAGTCTCCAAACCTGGATGACAATGCTTATGCTTTATTTCTATCGTTACGTTGCCATTGATCAAAAGAGTGAGTGGTTCCCAACATACGAAAAGTCTTATGTATGGACATGGGCTCAATTAAAGGGTAATGAATCTCTTGAGCAAGAGTGCGTTCAAATAATTAAATCATTTATCAGAGAATACCATGATGTAAAGGATGATGTTTTGGAAATGGATAGTATCTTTGAAGAGGAAATTGCTGAAATGCTAGCCTCTTTTAAGCATCCACAAAAAGATCGAAAAATTGGCATTACACGTATCGAAATTATTCGCGCAAAAAACCTTAAGCTGACCGATTCGTGGTTGTCTGGTGGTAGTGCCGACCCATACGTTAGGATAACTAACATTGCCACAAATTTAGTTTACGGTGATTCACGTGTTATCTACAACAACTTCAATCCCGTTTGGGAACAAGTGCTTTATATTCCAGTTTATGATGTCCATGAAAAATTCTATTTACAGGTTTTCAACTATAATGCTTTCTTTGAAGATACACTTTTGGGATCTTATATTTTTGATCTCAAGTCTATAATTAAAGAGCTTCCCAATGGTTCTTTAGAAGGAAAACAATTAAAACTTGATGCTAATCTCACTTATAAAGGAATCAACAGAGGCCAAATATCATTTGTCGCAGACTTTTTTTCGCTTCCTGAATCAGATGATTCAGATGTTATTAACCCAACTACTATTTCGATTCGACATTTATATCTACTAGTGACTTATCAAAGTCAATATGGGTACTTTGAACTTACCTGCTCGTTGGCAAGATTATTTAACTACCCTTCTAAAGAAGAGCTTTCTAAAGCCACATTCGATTTTGTGCGAAAGGATAGTGTGGTTCGAAGTTTAGATAACCAAATTTGGGGTACAGTGCTTGTCACATCCTTCCTCAAAGTATTACTGTGGAGAGAGCGTCGTGAATGGATGAATATTTACATAAGGGCTGAAAGATGGTTGAGTGAAAATGTAACCGATGTTGAAGTCGAAGAGCGTCTTTATAATTATTCAAACAAATTCGTTATTCAACGCTTTAAAGTTACTCAATGGATAGACGAGAATCAACAAAGAAGTCTGGGAGTTCTCGGTAAGGGAAAACTATTTCTTTTTTTAATGGTGCAGGATGAATCGCATGTTAATCGATAAATTTAAAAGTTGAGAAATCAGTATTAAAATTTCGTTATTATGCATAACCGTTGCCTATGTATAAATCATTTATTTATTGGGCGATATGAAGTTTCTGAAAAATTTTTTTAGCTATATATTTTAATTTTTATTCACAGGATTGTATAAATAGAACGCATTAATTGTGCAAGTTCTTGTATACCGATTATTAATCGATGCTTATGATATTGATTTGTTAATCATTTTACATTATTAGTCATATCTAAGAAATCAATCATTACCCGACGACATGTTGATATTCGTGTTGTTCGACGGTTCATCGCTTACCAGAATGAATTTGGTTTCTTCGAACTTACTATTCAATTGACTGAGGCTTTGGGTTTTAGCTCGGTTGAAGAAGCTAAAAAATATATTGAACCTCATTTCTCTTCCTACTCACCAAGAACTGATCAATTTGAAATTAACGTTTGGAGTACTGCTATTTTGATTTGGTTTATTAGATATGTATTAGTTGATTTCAGAAGTGAGTGGGCAGACGTATACCAAAAAACATACAATTGGCTTTGCCAACATGTGAAAAATGATGAAGTACGAGAAGAACTTCTTGAAACCGCTAGAACCTTTGTTATTAAAAGGTTCGAGGTTGATAATGATGCCATAAGTGAAGACGAGTCTTTCAAGGATTCTATAGAAGCCAGTAAAAAGTACCGGGATTGTGAGGTTGTTGGAATAATTAGGATATGTGTTAAAAGTGCTAAAAATCTCCAAATATCATCAGATAGCTGGTTTACCGTTTCTGATCCCGATCCGTATGTCAGCATTATGGATTCTGCTGGAATTGAAATAGATCGTACTCGTGTTGACCATGGAACTATTAATCCAAAATGGGAAGAAGTTCATTTCGTTTCTGTTCATGGTTTAGGTGAAAAAATTTCCTTCAAAATCTTCGATGGAAATCTTTTTGTATCAGACAAACCTATCGGTACCTATGTCCTAGATACTAATACTTTAATGAAAAATGAAGATCATTCTAAACCTATTAGTGATTGGTTCCCACTCCAATTTGGTAAAAAGCCAGTTGAAGGACATTTAAACTTGGAAATTCAATTTATCCCCACCAAATTTACTGAAGGCGTGAACTTTGTTTTTACTCTGAAATCCATTAGACTTCATCATGTATATATACTTATCAGCTGGCGCAAAGCGAACGGATTTTTTGAATTTTCTGATACATTGGCACGTTTCTTTAATTATAAATCAGTCAAGGAATTGAAAGAAAGTTTTTGCAAGCAGATATTTTCAGACAAGGAACTTTCAAAATATAACTTGTCCATATTATCAACAGCTCTTTCAATTATGTACTTCAAGGTTTTGTGTTGGAAACACTATAATGAATGGAAACAAGTTATCTCGAACAGTGAAATGCGGCTCAGTAAAGAAATTGACGACATAGAAGCCGAAGTTCGATTATATGATTTGTGTAAAAACTTTATTATTGAGCGTTTTAAAGTCAAAAATCTTGAAAAAGAGCAATTAGAAATAATCTTACCCGGTAGAAAATTTATACATTTTATTTATATTTATAATAGTGTTCTTTTAATTCAAATGACTTATGTAATGCATTCATTTTTTAGTCAAACAAGCCATTATTACACGAAAGAATATGAATGTCCGTTATATTCGTGCACTTACTGGTCATCAAGATGATGATGGATGTGTTGTTCTAAATAAAAAGGTCGCTGATTACTATGGCTTCAAAAGTGTTGATGAATTTTTACAACACCTACGAAAATACTTTAAGACAGAGTGTGTCACTAAGCTTCATCATAACATTTGGGTAACTGCATGCACCGTTTGGTACCTACGTTTAGTTGCTGTTGATCATCGACAAGAATGGATCACTAATTATGAGAAATTATCCAAATGGTTAACAAAACAATGTAATGAAGATACTGCTTTTGAGTATGAAGTCATGGAATGCGCCAAGAAATTCATTGTTTCAAGATATGAAGTTGAAAATGAAGCTATTGAAGCCGACAAGAGCTTTATTGCAGCTATTAAGACTAGAGATATTGCAATGAAAGAAGAGAACGAAAGAGGAAGGCAGAAAAAAGGTATGTTTCAATTAAATAATATTTTTTTAAGTTCTGCAAATAAGATGGATATGTTTATTTTGTTTGATACTTTATTACAGTATAATCTCGATATAACGACTGGGATTTTTGCTTCGTTATATTTCGATACATCAAGATATCCTCGACATAACGAATTTATATATAATTTGGAAATTCAAATATGTTACCTGAATTTGAATGTAAATCCATGATATCTAAAAATGGATCAATCAGATCAATTAAAAAATTTAATACTCAAGTAATATTATTAACGTGTACATTTAGAGAGTTTATCAAAAATATTGTAAATTATTTTTTAATTATTATAAATTTATTTATTTTTGTTTTATATAAACACTTAAATTTTTTGTCTTCGAATATAAATATAATCTTTATTTTCAAATATTATCATATTAAATTTATTTAAATATTTTAAATATTAAAAAAAATAAATAAGAACTATTTTTATAGTTAAATTCAGAACAGATTTGTCTTGAATTTTAAACAGTTTAAGGGATATTGAAATTATTATTTAAATGTATTTAAATTTTTTTTAAAAAAATTTTTGCAATTTTATATTATAAGTTTTAAATAAAAATTTATTATTATTGCTTGATTAGAAACTTTATTAATATATATATAATGAAGAAATAACATATGGGGATAGGTTCGCTATGTCTAAACAGTACTAATACTAATTACTCATATATATTACTAAAATATTATAAGTATCCGATTACAGTTCACATAGCTATGTTGAGAATCAGCTGGAAAATGGGAAGGAGTATAGTGCATTTGCTTAGAAAAGGGTTTAAAAGTAAAATCTTTGCATTTTTATTACAGCTTAGGCTGATTAAAATGTTGAAATTTGGGTCCTTGCACTGCTAATGCAGCCATGAAGTTTTTAAAGCACTTACCTGTTTCTTACAATTAGAATTTTAAATTATTGCACTACTTTGCAGTTATGGAGCCTATCAACATAAGTTTTTACAATGCTTTCACAGTTACAGAACTTATGAAAGAACATATATTTCTTTCCTTAGTACTGAGTAAGTAACAGAGCTAGCTCTAACTACTGGGTGAGCAATAGTGAACAGAAAGATAAATAATTTTTTTTTTAAAGGTCAATCTTTAAATAACCCACCTTACTCATGATATTTACGCAAACCCTATAACATTTCTCTAGCCTTAATCAATAATTATTACTTATTTACAATTCATGAATAACCAAAATAAAACTATTCATATGTCATCCTGATACTAATTTTAAATTAATAAGATACTAAATAAATCTGTTAAATATAAAAGAATACACATTACATGCATATAATTTGTGCTTAAAGTTATTTGATCTTACAATAATGATTGTTTCATCACTTCATTGACAAGCTTCTTACTTCGAATACATCATATATTAATATATATAATATATTAAAAAATTTTATAATTAATATTTTATTTAATAATTGTTAAGCAATATTATATTTTTTATATAATAATCTTAAATAAAATTTTACAGATTTTTTTTAATTATTATATTGTTATTTTATATAGTAGTACAAAAAAGATGCTTAATTAAGTTTTATAAGCTAAAAAATTATTTTTTTAATTTTTTTTTATAAAAACACTAATCCAAAAAATTATAAAAAAAATTTTCAAATATTATAATACTATGAAAAATTTATTACTTTAAAAATTACTATTTATGGAATAATTAAAAGTTTCTCATATAACAATAAACATGCTAATAAGTAAAAGAGATATTAGATTTGGTGAGTACTAAAGATGTTTTACTTTATTAACTGTATATATGAGACTTATCTTTTTTTTATACTTAGAATATATTACTTATATATTTTTTCTTTATATATTATATTAACTAAATATACTATATTTACTAATTATACTATATATACTAATTACTCTACATTTTCTATTTTTACTACATTTGTTATATCTACTAATTATATTACATTTACTTTTTTTTTTTTTTTTTTAAGGTGAAGTCTTGCTTATATCTTTATTAAGTAATTTATAAAATAGTAACATATGTGTA